GCTGCGCGGCGTGGCGCGGTCCCGCGCACCGCAGCGTGCGGGCTGCACGGCGCGGTCCGTGGTGCAGTGCATCCCCAGTGCCTGCCTGCATCCCTTCACTCCCCCGGCTGTACGTGTGCCTGTCAGAGCCGTCCGTACGTCCAGTGGAGGGGTGTCTCCTTGTCCCTGCCTGGTGCTGGTACTTCGTTCTGGAGTGGGTTTTCTTCCTGTTCGTCTATGTGTCTGCTTGCCGTGCGAGCTCCATCCCATCCGGAGCCTCTGTGAAGGGCCCATACAGGGACAGGGAACAGAGCAGGTGCTTCGGAAGTGAATGTCTCTGGTGGTTCATCCAGGCTGCTTCAGCAGGGTATAGGATTGATTTAAATATTTAAGCCTTATAAAATACTTCTGTATTCTTAGTTTCAGCATAGCCATGTGGCAGAGACGCCCACAGGTTCAAGCCTTCATGCCTCGAAACTTTGTGTTTACTGCCTTATTGTGTTGCCTTTTCATTCTGGTGTGTGTGTGTCCCTGTTCCTCCACCGTGACAGGGGAGAAGTAGGGGCTGCGCAGCCCACTCCCGTTTCATTCGGCTTTGAGGCTGTGACTGTCACAGCAGCATCTGAATGCTTGGGTGTACGCAGCAGCACCCCTCCTGCTCCTCTCCTCCATGGGCAGGCTCATCAGTATGTCTTCCAAGGAAAATCTTCCCAGACCCCTAATCCTTCTCCTTTTTGAGCTCTTCCCATCTGTGTCTGTCAGCCAGAGTCTCTTCCCCTCCTCTATCACCAAACCAGCTTTGCCCCTGTGGCTTTATCCCTATCTTAGTGTCCACTCCTTGTCTAGACGCTCCACGGCTAAATTCTCAGCCCAGGGATTAGGGAAGAGCTGAGGAGATGAATGCGGGACCTGATGGCTGTCTCCGTGCAGCCCCTTGCCTGCGGAGCTGGGGCAGCCTGCTGTAGCCGCCTGCTGTAGCCCTCCCAGCTCATCTTTATTGCAAAGGGGCAGCGCGAACTGCTCGCCTCTGCCCCTTGAAGACACGCCAGATGTGTTTTTCTCAGCAAAACAGGAAAGCTCCTGCACTGGCACTGTGAGGCAGCCTTTGGGGGTCGGGGGAAGGCCCGCTGGAGTCCCTGTTAGCAACATGTGGGAGATGGCGTAGCTGCCAGCATCGCAGGGGCATGCCTGCTCGCCTTCCTTCAGTGTTCGTTTAGCCTAGAGGGTCGGTACAAGGTACGGTGATTTAGGTGAGCCAGTAATGTTTACTGATGCGCTTAGAGAGAGCAGGGAGGTGTGAGTGCGCGCAGGCCGGCAGGCTGTGGGTTTTTCTGGCCTCCCTTCGAGCCTGGCCTGCTGGCATGACGCTTCTATTACTGAAAATTACTTCTAGCGGGAATGCTGAATCACGGACTCCTGACAACCAGGAGATACAGTAGGATGAAGGTATCATTCATTCAGTTGGCTTTGCTGCTTTTTTTTCTTTCCCCTTTTGTTTTGTGTTCTTATGGCAGCCCAGGCAGTGATGCCAGCAGGCTGGGTGCTTCAGCACGATGCTCATTAGCAGAATTCTCCCTGATATTCATTTTAAGTTTCTCTTTTAAGTTTTAACCCATTTCTAAGTCTCCTTGTTCAGGGATGCCTGAAGAAAAAAAAAATCTTTAGTCGTGGTTTACACCCTTGAGATCTTTCCAGACTGCTGGCTTGTCCCCTCCCCATGTTAGTCATCCCATATTGCACTAGACAAATTTAGCTCCTAACCTTTCCTTAGAACTCAGTCCCTCTGGCCTACTGGCAATTTTTTGTTGCTCTTCTCTGAACTCCGTCTGTTGTGGGTAATAGAAAAGGCAGGCCAGATCCGAGTAGGTGTCCATCCATCCTTTCTCCCAGAGGCTGCACAGAGTAAGGGGCAAGTGGCCTCTAGTGGCCAGCCATCAATTAAGGCACCGAAAGGGAGCACCAGTGCTCCCAGGCCATCGGCTCTCCCTTCTCGAGAAGGTGGGAGAGCCAGCAGGGTTAGGATCGGAGAACGCGCCTCCCATCCTCACCCCCCTCGCGGCCCCGAAGCGGCAGATCCCTCCGGCAGCTCTGCCCCCAAGCCCCGCCGGCTCAGGGTGCCCACGCATCGCATCCCACTTTCACTGGGTTGTCAGCGGGGGGTTGACGGAAACCCCGTGGGCGCCTTGCAGTCCCCCGGAAATTTCAAAGCCTGTCCCAAGGGCTCTGTTACTTTACTGCTGGCACAACTGTCTCGCTTTTAGCTGTTCAGCAGCGTCATTAGAGTGACATATTTTCAGCACATTTCAGAATCCACTGCTTTCGATGGGTAAAGAAAGATTAAGTCCTGTATTTTCCCTCCCTTTTAACTTAATTTAGGCAGTCAGGCTGTAGTTTCAAACTCGGTGTAATATCTTGCAAAGCTGGAGCCAGCAGAGTTTGTTGCATCCAGCAGTTCTCCCCGCTGTGGGTTTCCTCCCAGGAGCACGAATGCCCCTGCCAGGCTCTGCCTAGCTCCAGGCAAACCTGAGCTTGACCTGAGCTTGACAAAGCACATTGTTTCACAACGTTGCTGATATTTGCAGTTTCCTTTGGAGGCCCCACAAGGCACATTAGTGGCACAGAGGTGGAGCTGAGCATTAGCTTTTTTTTTTTGTGTGTGTGTGTTAAATTACCTTTACCATTTTCCTAGTTTTTAGGGATCCTGCAACTACAGGAGCTGCCACCAAAGCTCCGCCATCATTTTACTCCCTGAAGTAGTAGTGCTCACAACACGTTTTTGCAGGCAGTCTGTAGCTGTGAACGTTATGTTCCTTAAAAATACCCAATTCTTTCTTTAACAGTTGTGATGCCACGGCCCTGTACAACTGCAGAGCCAGATTC